CCTGTGAGGTCAATTTCATATTAATAGAATGAAGATTTTTCTAAACATAAGAGACGCGTCGTAAACAGTTCTGTTTGGATTTAAAATGTTGAGTTCATGAATTTCAAGTAGTTAAGGTGTGTTTGTTTTGTCTCACTTTGCCATGAGACAGCCTGAGGAAAAAGCCAGAAGCAGAGTAATCCTTCAGAAAAGTTAAATGACCAAATTAGCAGTAAATTTCCATTAACTACGAGCCTTTTCAGGCCTCCACTGCTATTTAATTCTTCTGTCTCTTCACAAGCATTTAAGTAAAGTAATGTTTATGAAAAGGAATCCCATACAAGTTGTTCAGGTGGATACTTGCCTCTATTTCAATTAATACCACTTCATGTGATGCACCTGTTTTTGAGTGTCTGTAAGTACAAATGAAGGAGAAACAGTCACAGTTTTTAAAGCAAGTGATTCTGTGCCCCTTTCATAACACAACAACTGTCGTTAGTAGACTTGAAAGGGAGCCGTGTTTCTCAGGATCTTCTTGAGTATTCAATTTGTCAAGCATATTGCTTTTGAAATACTTTGGCTGTATGCCATAGGATGTCCAAAGATGTTTTATGGTACAAATATCTTAATTCTTGAGGGGAAATAAGTGATTTTTTCCCCCTGAGTTGAAGAAAGTTAAAAGCAAGCTTATTTTCTATCTATCCTTGCTGATACATAACAGAATCTTTATTTGCCAATAATCTTCTTGTTGTGGTTCATAATCTGTGTTTGATCAAAGACCCCTTTCAGAATCAATGAAAGCTATGAGCTTTCTCTATAAGAAAAATGCCCATAGCCCAGTTTGCATGCTATTTTATAGTGTTCCCAGAGCCAAAGCTTGTTCATAAACCCTGGTGAAGAAACTTTGTTACGTCTGAGAATTCTATGGATGTTACTGGTGATAAAAATCTTACCATTTTAATTTATATACACTATGTATCTTATAGTTTTCTTTTTCTTTTTTTTAAATGTTTATTTATTTCTGAGAGAGAGAGTGCATGCACGAGTGGGGGAGAGGCAGAGAGCGTCCCAAGCAGGCTCTGCACTGTCAGCACAGAGTCTGACACAGGGCTTGATCCCACGAACCATGAGATCATGACCTGAGCTGAAATCAAGTGTCGGGTTGTTCAACCGACTGAGCCACCCAGGAACCCCCCATAGTTTTATTTTTCTTATATATTTGTAACACATAGCTACAACTTCTTCAGTGCATGTTTAATTATTTCTTCTTTATTAAGAAAGCCATTATACTATATTAGGAGATAATATCAAGTTACTATGCCCTATACCTATGTAAAACATCTCATACCCTTGAATAGACTTACAGAAGAAAAATCAATAAAGTTGTATACTCAATACCATATTGCTAGATGAATACCCAGCTAATAAAATGGGTAGGGTTTTTTGATTTTAGGAAAAAATAATTTTAGTAAGAGCCACAAGTGAGAGAATGAATTTTGATTTTCAGTAATCCCTCATTTGTTCTTTTTAAATCTTAGTTATAATATAGAGAAGTAACTGTGACAGTTAATGGGATTTGCAGGGTCACTTTGATGAGGTTGACCACCAGGAAAAGGTGGTACAATAACTGTGATTACACTTGAGTTTCTTAAATAGAACTATTGAAAGGGAATAACAGAACAGTGCAACCCTCTGTCTCCCAGGTGAAGGGACTCTGCTCCACAAGGCCCTTGTCATGCACAGAAAGGCAAGTCATTAACTCCTCTTCCATACATATTCCTTCATCCTATAGATTGCCTTCCTAGAAGTTCAACTTAAAAAAGTTGCCAGGGTTCCTGGATGGCTCAGTCAGTTAAGCATCTGACTTCAGCTCAGGGCATTATCTCACGGTTTGTGAGTTCGCCGGTTTGTGAGTTCGAGCCCTGCCGTCGGGCTCTGTGCTGACAGCTCAGAGCCTAGAGCCTGCTTCAGATTCTGTGTCTCCCTCTCTCTCTGCCCCTCCCCTGCTAGTACTCTGTCTTTCTGTCTCTCTCAAAAATAAACATTAAAGAAATTAAAATTAAAAAAAGTTACCACGCTTAGGAATCATGAATTTTCTGCTTCATCTTGGTTCATGGCATCTTAATCTCCCAAGTCCAAGGAAAGAGGGGAAGACCCGGAATACCTTCCTGTTGGAAGCATCTTGATTTTCTTACTGTTGTGTACACAGCAGTGTTTGAAGAAGATGAAGGAGACAATAGAAAACTGTTGGCAGTCCTCAAATCTGGATCCCAAGATGCCACAGCCTTGTTATCTTATTTGACATCTGCTATTGTACAGCTCCTGCAAGCTCTTTTTCCTTGGAGGTCCTTGAAACCTGCAGCTTACTTATACAGCTCAGAGATAGGTTCAGCCCATCCTGCGATGCTGCTATACTCAAAAACAACTTTGCTTTGAAAATTCTAAAATACCTTCCTTCATGTATATTTGAAACATCCAAAAATTGTTTTGTGTAGATTCTTTAAATTCATTTCCTCTTGGTTTTTATTTTATTGTGCCCACTTTACTTCCATCTATCTTTACTTTGTATCTGGTAATGACCTGAGCCCATCTCGGTAATGACTGAGAATTGGATGCTCAACCAACTGAGCCACCCAGGCATCCCTATTCCTTTGTATTTAATTTCATTTCAGTTGTTTTGCTTACTAATTACACCTTTTTGGTTTATTCCTGTAGTAAAAATAAAGCCCCAAATAAGGGACACTGAAATAGATAAGGAGTAATTTTATATGTGATCAACAGTGTCTAAGAATTTAACAGATTTTTAAAGCAAAAAGAATACCTAAGGGTCATCCACTCTGATTCAGCTGTTGGCCCATGTCAGGGACCTGGGATTAGAATCCAAGTTTCTGTTTCTCCAGTTCAGTACTTTTTGATTGTTGTCTATTGCCATTAATTATTCTTTCTGAACCTATTTAAGAACGTTACACAATTGAATTTGACATTTTAAAATAAAAACAATTTTTTTTCAGTCACTTTTTACCCTTCCTTCTAAAGGGTCTCAGCTATTGGGCTAATAATAGAATAGTAGGCCGTTGCTATCTGCACAGGGCCTAACTTTTGGGTCCCTCTCTTAGGACATTGAGAGAGTGATTTAATATCACGCCATTGCAGTTTTCCTTTTCACATAGAGATACTAACTTGAGCCAAGGTTACAGATTACTCTAACAGTAGGAAGTGGACTGTTTTTTCCATTTGTCTTTAAAATATCAAACCCAACTCACGTGCCCAAGGCCGCTGCCATAGAGGATATGGTTCACCAGTTTGTGCCTCACCAAGTTGCTTCTTTCTGTCACCTCCTGCCTAGATATTCCCAGTCGCATCTGCTGGGCTCCACACTGAAGTCCCTTCCTTCATCCCCATCTTTCCAGTGCCCCCAGGACTGTACCCCCTCAGAACTGCCTCCCCCTAGCCTCCTGATCTGCAAAAACTTTTTCTTGTATCTCACTGATCTCTTTTAGGACCTCTCAAAGTCACTTTTGATTTGTAAAACACTTGTCCATGCGTTCTAACGTTATTCTGAGGACAGTCTAGCTAGCAGGAAAAGTTTAGCCTAACCCTAACCCTTAGGACTTTTCTCTAGGAATAAGTCCATTTAAACACTGATCTTCTACAGACAGTGCCCTGCCTTCAATCAGTCTCTGAATGAATCTAAAGGCAGGAATTTAAGGCAGGAAGAAACCTACCCATTTGGACTTAACCAGTGACCAAGATGAAGAAGATCAGGCAGACCTTAGTTAGTTCTTGTATCTCACCAAAAAGTCCCTGGGGCTCCCCCCTTGGGGGACTAGCCCTAGTTACCCAGACCAAGAAGTCAACTGGAAATGCCCCCTTGGCCCTACAGGGCACTGACTTATCTGATTTATTGTTGACACAAGCAAGAAGAGTCTCAGTAACAGAATCTATTAGTGATCACTGGGTTCCTATGGAATTGAGGGTTCCCCCTCAGCAGGCATTTCTTTATTCTTCACACTTCTGGGTGTTTTACCTTCTGACTTGAGTACTTTAAGTGTCATAAAATGCATTGTATTTTCAGTAGTCTGCTAAAGAAATCCCTGTTGTTCTTGGGGGCTGATGTCAAATGAGGAGGTCAGGTCCGAGGTGGTGATAGTCACATTATTGCATTTATTTGCAACCTGACTGATGGGTTAGCCTGGGGCAGTTGATAACTTCACACTTGGACTTAGCAAGAGAAGATGCTTTGGAAGGGTGTGATTTGAAGGAAAACAGACCCTGGTGGGGACAGTCAAGGTTGTGGAGCAGAGGGACGTCCATTTGTTCTAAGACAGCATAGCATAGAAGGTGAGGTTTTAATAGAAGTGGCATGTGAAGAGGTGTGTGTATTTTTCAAGCCAGTAGAGGTTGGTGTTGATTTATTATCAGAAAGTACCTCAAAGTTTTACTAACGATGATCACCATACCTTAAAACAGGTTGGGTCCATTTCTATTGCCAAGGGTTTTTGTTTGTTTGTTTGTTTTTTTAATGTTTATTTATTTTGAGAGAGAGCTCACACATGCCCAAGCAGGGGAGGGGCTGAGAGAGAATCCCAAGCAGGCTCTGCAGCATCAGCACAAAGCCCGATGTGGGGCTCGATCCCACAAACCATAAGATCATGACCCGAAATCAAGAGTCAGATGCTTCACCAACTGAGCTACCCAATCGCCCCTCTACTGCCGAGTCTTGAACAATGTAGCTTCTCTAATACCCTTCACTAGCAAGTTCCTTCTAAAGCATGTAATGGAAAATGGTGTAATGTCTTATGACTCACTAGAATATAAACTAGAACAGCTTTTGGAGATACTCGTGTCAAAATGTAGAGTGATTTCAGTTTTCCAAATTAGCGCCTTTTTTTTTTTTTAATCTGAGATGTTAGTCTCCTGAATGTCTAGACTTCCCCACTATGAAATGTTGCATGCTAATAAATGGTGGAAATGCCGGTCGCCTCATGTCATTACATGAACTGTTTCCTGGTTGTTTGCAGGAACTGAGAGAAATACATAATAAGCAACAACTCCAGAAACAAAAGTCCATAGAGGCCGAACGTCTGAAACAGAAAGAACAAGAGCGAAAGATCATAGAATTAGAAAAACAAAAAGAAGAAGCCCAAAGGTAAGTCTTCTCGTGGATTGTGTGGCCATCGGGAAGAAACGTTGAGTATTTATTCTTCCTTGCGGGGCTTTTGCAAGTATTTACTGACTTTGAAAGAGCCTTCAGTCTTTAGTGTGTGTGTGTGTGTGTGTGTGTGTGTGTGTGTGTGTGTGCGCGCACACGCACAAGCACAAATAAATACGTGTATATATAAATCTTTGCATATGTAAGTACCCCCTGAAGTTTTTGGTGAGTTTCCAGAGCTCTCCCAAGCTACTACTATGTAGATAAATGGAATTATACAAGGAAATGAGGACACTTGGTATGCTCATTTGCATGCCAATGACCAAAATACATTTCCAGTTCACAGCCTTTTTATAACAGTGGCTGTCCTGAGCGCTGGGTTTGAAATCAAAGCCCCTGAGTGGTCGCCACGCAGGCTTTCTCCAGCAGGACTGACCGCGTGCTACTCTGACTTCTTTCTTCTTTTCTTCAACTGCAAATTAAACTTGAGTACAAGAGGAGAAAATTTGCTGCTGCTGCTAAAGATACAGACACATTTTTTTGTTTGTTTTTGTTTGAATATTTGTGTTTGTGGTTTGTTATTATTACTTGTAACTTTCTATAGTAAGTTGTAGAAACATATTTGTTCACTTGCGGGGTGTCTGATTTCGTTCCTGGATATTTGCATCTTAAATTTCAATTAATTTTTTACTCTAAGAAACAAAAATGACCAAGTATTTCAATGACACAGTATACGTTGTAAAAATTGGTTATTGAAATTAGAATAAAAAGATGAAGAAACATACGTTAGGCAAGTCATTGACCTCAGTGAGCTGAGCTCAGTTTAACTACCCAGAGGGTGCACACTTTGTTGTGGGTGTCTGTAGTTCAGTTAACCCTTGAACAACAAGGAGGTTAGGGGCGCAGACCCCTGCTCAGTTGGAAATCTGAGTATAACTTTTGACTCCGCCCAAAACTTAGCTACTAATAACCTACTGTTGATTGGAAGGAAGCCTATAACTAACACATATTTTGTTGTGTTGTATATATTATATACTATGTTCTTACAATAAGGTAAGCTAGACAAATAAAATGTTAAAATCATAAGAAAGAGAAAATACATTTACAGCACTGTAGTGTGAAATATCCCCATTTAAGTGGACCCACATAGTTTACCAGTGGATAGGTGGGTAGGGTCTCTAACCAGTTTAGAGGATTGTTTTATGGTTTTCTTGGGGCTTGATTCAAGGATTCATTTCTTGGATGTGCTGATTAACTCTAACTCCATCCTTTTCTTATCTTCAAAGTTGATAAGATGCTTTGATTATTCACATTAAACTGCACTAAACTTTCATATTTCTGCAGAGGAGAAATCAATACAAAATATCATAATACAAAAAGGGTAGATTTTCTGCTTACAATCATATAAATAAAACCAAAAATTAAGTTCAGAAGTTACATGATGTCTTTTATTAGTAGAAAATATTAAGTACATTTTTATTGTGGTTTTGTTGTTGTTGTTATGAATGACAACAATTTTTTTGTGCTTTCTTAAAAGATGTTTTGAAAAACTTAAGTAAAATGTTAGAGATTTAAGCTAAGAATTTTACTGCACCGAATTTTCACATTCATACAGCGTAGAAATAAATATAATATTTTTTAAATGGAGAATACAAGTTTTATTTGCTTATATTATGTTCTTTTGGCAGTGTCCTAATTCCGGGAGATGACCTTTGTGCTTTGGCCATGTCACAGGACAGTGGTTCAGTATGTGGAGCCTAGAACCAGGCTGCCTGGGATTGAGCCCCAGGCAGGTGTGGCCATGTGGCTTCAGACAAGCCACTTATGTGTAAAATGGGGACAATAATAGGACCTCCCCACCTGGTGTGAAGACTAATGGAGTTAATGTAGGAGGAGGACTAGTTATTACTATCATCATATTGTTGAGTTTGGCACATGAGTTTCATTTAAAGTGTTTTCTGATTTCATAGACTGTATGGGGTGAGAGAAAAACCACCCCTAGTTGTCTCCTGTGGGTTTCAGGATGAGGTCTTCTTATATGTCAGGGCCTAGATTTAATTACACTTTTCGCATCAGCTGTTTTGACAAACAGAAGGTTAGTTGTCAAATTCAGGAAGATGCATAGAGACTATTCAGTAATGGGTGGCCGCTGCCTCGAGGGTTCCAACTCATCTGTTGCTTTCACCTTCAGTTTTTGGGGGACCTACATGCGTGTTCATCTGGCTGTGGTCCCTCATCACGGATGTTTGTTCCTGTGCGTGTTAGGGGTTTTGGTGGTGAAATACCAGTCTTCTCATCGAGAAGTATCTTTGTTATTCTTCTAACTACTTCACAAAATACATCAGAAATCTTCTTTCTGTGTTTTTCTGAGTCGTGTGGTTTCATTGCACTCAGAATCAGAGCCCTGAGAGCCTTTGTTTCATGGACTCAGACTGCCCCATCTGAGGAACAGTATCCCCTCCGTGTTTAGCATTCCATTGACTAGACGGAGCTTTTTTGTGAAGAGACCACAGCAGTGGTAAACTGGAATTGCTTCCTCGCAGTAATCAAGCTTTTTGTTGACAGACGAGCTCAGGAGAGGGACAAGCTGTGGACTGAGCACACGCAGCCGGACAATGAGCAGCAGCGGCCAAGGAAGATTCACGATGAAGAGAAACTCCGAAGGGAGGAGAGTGTCAAGAAGAAGGACGGCGAGGAGAAGGGCAAACCGGACACACAGGACAAGATGAGTCGGCTTTTCCATCAGCATCAAGAACCCGCCAAGCCAGCTGTCCAGGCACCCTGGTCCACCACAGGTATTAGGGGCCAAAAGTCATTCTGGCAAATGAGTTTTCTCTCCCAGATCTTCCTGAGAAATATCCATGTCTAACAGGCCCTGTCTTGGCTCCTTCCATAGAGGTGAGAATGCCAGTGTCCTTTTCTCGGACCGTGCAGGTGTTCATTCTCTAGGATCACGAGATGCCTGTTTAATCTTCCACCACCGTGCCAACCTTTGGTCCCTAGTACACTGGCGTCCAGAGTCTTTTGTAGACAAAAGTGGCATGAGTTTTCCTTTCCAAGCCCCATGCATAAACCTGTGTTCCAAATTTGGAAAGAACCTGTTGCTTCTCCACTTGGCTATTTTCTCTGGGAATTTCTGAGCTGTTTCAGCCCCAGGAAATGACACCTTTTCCCCCTTCAGTCTGTCTTCAGTCTGCACTGCATAAAGCCGTGTCCTTTACCTTTTGAAAACTGTGACTTTTGTTTTGCCCTTTGATCATAAGTTGCCTCTTTAAATTCTGGTAAATGAAAGACTTTGAAATTGCTAGAAAACATGAACTCTTACATGAGATGCAACCTAGAATGTATTTTCGAGATTCTTGTGTGGCTGTATAATATTGTACAGCTCTGCAGATTAATACTCAGCTGAAGAAAGTGATTGCTTTTTCCTTTGCATGGTAAATTATATTGATTTTGTTTGATTATCAGTGTGCTTTTTATTGATATACAGAAAGAAAAGAAAGCAGCACACTGTTCCGTAGGGTTTGCTTCCTGTTTACTGTGGGCAGGAATGGGAGTGGGGTTCAGAACTGGGTCTCACACCCTCCCTGCCTGCAGTTTAGGAGAACTGATGGCAAGCTTATTTATGTTTTAATGCTTTCTTTGATATGAAAATAATTTCCAGTACTCGATCTTAGGCAATTAGTTTTAAGTTCCTTATCTTGCCTCCTAGTATAAAATGAGGATTGAGGCCCCTGGGTGGCTCAATCAGTTAAGCGTCCGACTTCAGCTCAGGTCATGATCTGGCAGTTCATGAGTTCCAGCCCCATGTTGGGCTCGGAGCCTGGAGCCTGCTTTGGATTCTGTGTCTCCCTCTCTCTCTGCCCCTCCTCCACTCATGCTCTGTCTCTCTCTCTCTCTCTCTCTCTCTCAAAAATAAGTATTAAAAAAAAATTTTTTTTTAATGAGGATTTCTTTTTTTATATAACTTTTTTAAAAGTTTATTTATTTTGAGAAACAGAGCTTGTAAGCGGGGAGGGGCAGAGAGTGAGGGAGAGAGAGAGGATCCCAAGCAGGCTCCACACTGCCAGAACAGAACCCGATGTGGGGCTCGAACCCGCGCACTATGAGATCATGACCTGAGCCAAAATCAAGAGTTGGACGCTTAACCAACTGAGCCACCCAGGTGCCCCTAAAATGAGGATTTCTATTTCCTTTGGTCAGTGAGATACACTGCACATCATCCAGCTGAAGACTGCATGAAGATAATACCTTCCCTTCACTGCTTTTCAGAGAAAATAGATGTGTGTCTAAATACTTGCAGCTCTAGGGTATAAAGTTCTGAGGGCTGTGGTTAGGTATTGTTAAGTTTTAGCCAGAAGCCAAAATGTCTTCTGCTTGCATGCGTTTTTGAAAACTTTTACTTGAAATCTAAATTATTTTCATACAAGTTCTGTCTTTTGGCTCACTTCCCCTCCCCTGGGAAATGTAGAGGAAGACTTACTTCACCAGGGATTATCAATAATAATTGTTCTTGGTGAAATCGGCACTTACATTTTATATGATTGCTTTAGGGACCTAAAACATCGACATTTCCATGTCTCTTAGTATGGAGAGTTGTGCTGCTTTACTTTCTGCCAAAGGAGTTTTCTTCTTGGCTGATTCAGTTCGGGGGTCACATTCTAGCTGCTGCATTGTACTCGGCACCCTGGGTGGAGAAGAGGGGGATTGATGCTTTACAGATGTGCACTGCTGGAGCCTGAGCCGGGAGGCTGTTCTACAGGGACCTAACACAGCCTCACTGCATTTGGCGTTGGGATGGCCTTTGTTCAGGGAGCGTCGGCCAGTGGACTCTGATGGGTTTGAGTTGCTGACATCAGATTTGGCTCTCCTTAGGCACTAAGTATGTGCTTCAGAAATTTCTTGAATAGATGGAAATTGTTCAGATGGTAAGGGCCGCAGTAGAGCAGAGGTCCTTCATTTGGCTTGTTGTCATGCATATGTGTTCCGTGTAATGTTTTATTTTTGTTCCCTTCTCCCCACTGTTTTGGAAATAGAAAAAGGCCCACTTACAATTTCCGCACAGGAGAATGTAAAGGTGGTGTATTACCGAGCGCTCTATCCCTTTGAATCCAGAAGTCATGATGAGATCACGATCCAGCCCGGAGATATAGTAATGGTAAGAAAGACTCCCGTCAAAGTGTGATTTCTGTCAATGATTAGCACCTGTCCTCCTCCTGCACTTTATTTGACAGCGTGAAATTGTCACCGAGTATGAAATCCAGTAATCCAGCATCTGGACTTTTGAAGTATGGGCTCAGTCTTCCTTCCCTATCAGATTGAAAGATGGTATTTAGAAATGTATCCTAACATCACTTTAAAATAGAGGTGTTAGAGAAAATGGGTTGTTATCACAGCCTGGGCATGTTTTAAAATCTATAAAGGTCTGGTAATTTCAGAGTTTAGATTACCACTTACATATTATGAATAGTCCTTAAGACATAGTTTTCAGTGCAAAATGCTTTATCATCATTTTCGTAATTGCCAATGATAACTTCTATATTTTCGGATCAGTGCATCTTTTTTCCCCTTTGTGTGATCGTTGAATTGTGTGAAGAGCCATGAATTACATACAGTGAATCTGCCTTCTTATTCTGCAAATGAGCAGATAAAAGAGTTTGGAATTTTGCTTCGTCAAAGTTTATTTTATTTAATTACGGTAATAGTTAAATATAATCTTATGAGTGTAACTAAAACTATAGTAACCAGTTTAAGAAGGAATGAAGCAATGTGGTTGACCGAAATCACTTTCTAAAGAGAACAGTAGTTCCTGCACCTAGTTAATAACTTAAGAATAAGAGTCTTAGAAATGGTCATAGTTTACATCACTTACTGTTGGGCATTTTTTGTTTGTTTAAAGATGGGGATGGTTCCGAATTTTAAAAGAACTATGAAAGTCAAAGATTGAGATAAGCATGCTTCTCATACTGGTATTACATGTCTTTGGACTAAAAATGTTGTAGAGGTCATTGCACCCTTACTTACATGTTCCTCTCGCACGTATACATCAGATCTCTGGGTGGAGAAAACACGATCTTTAGTGAACCAAAATATGTAGAAAGAACAGTGTGTTTGGTATTCAGAGATATCAATCATTTCTCCCTTTTTTTCTGATAGTTTTTTTCTCTACCTGTCATGGGCTAGAAATAAGAGAATCAAGACCAAATATCCAGATTCTTCACAAGTCAGAATCTCTGTAACAATCACAAACCCTCTTCAAATATAGTCCAGCCTCCATTCAGCAAACTATTTGAATGCCTGGGTGCCAGCCTTACTCACTCTTTGCAGGAAGAGCCTCTCTTTCTCTTTGGCGGAGGCACCGCACTCATACACATGAACAGTGATTCAAGGCTGCCCCATCACCACTGACTCTTTCCTGTGCTGTGTTTGCTAGGCCTGAAGCAGCTTTATTCATGCAGCCTCGTCTTTGAACTATTGTGGCTTTTAAAGCATTTGAATTGTTAAAATATATAAAATATGACACCAGGAATCTAAAACTTGTGAGAGCACAAGGTGACTTCAGATAGGGCCTCATAACAAAGCGTGTTTTTTTTGTTTTTTTTACACTGGAAAAAAAAAAAAGAGCCTGATGTTTTGAAACTGGATTTTGTTGCAACACCAGGTACAGAAAAGTAGTGTTCTCTTGTTGAGATAAGGAAGTGTTACAAAATGTTACAATGAAGAAGTGTTACAGATGATCTATACTGAGAAAATATTGGTATTCTTTGGAAACATAGTCTTGTTACAATGATACTTTTCCTCAAATTGGCTAGTTAACCACCCTCTTGACTAGATGAATAGAGTTTAGATATACTGTAAAAATAAAACATTTCATTAAACATATTTTGCCTTGCTTTCAAACCTTTGCTTTCCTGGTGGAGGTTAAAGGGGAATGGGTAAGTCTATGTAACTGTCAGGAAGTCTACATCTCATTAAGTGTTTTCTTCTTTTAAGTCACTTTGATTCTGTGTAAGTACACATACCTTTGGGTGTTATCGTGGAAGTAGAAACATGTTTTCAGTTTGTACAGTAGGTTGTGCTTAAAAAAGAAAACAGAGAAAAAAGAGGTATAAAGGTATGTGTACCAGATTTCTCTGTGCTAGATTCCATTTAAGGACTAACTTGAAGGCTGTGTACTTGGCAATTATAAGGTCAAGTCTCTGTCTCAGAGTACAGACAAAAATTGTTCCAGGTAGTTTAAGCTTAGAAAATAAAATTCTTAATTTTTTTAAAGGAGAGTATTGGAATAATTTCCTGGCAAAGAAATACCTTTCTGAGCTAAAACCAGAAGCCATAAATGATAAAAATGGACAGATTTGACAATGTAAAATAATTTATACTTGTATATTGCAAAATACATCCATAATAAAGACGCCAAAAAGTTAATATGAAAGAAACCCACAAATTATAAAAGTTGTCCAAGGATATGAGGAGATAGTAAAAAGAAGAAAAGCAAATGATTTTAAAAATATATAAAAAGAGGCTTTATCTCATTGGCGATCAGGAAATGCAGGTTAAGAAAAAAACAGCATTTTTCATTTCTCAACTGAGCAAATTTAAAAGTTTGGTAATATTCCGCTTTGTCAAAAGTGTAGGAAAGCAGTTGTAATATACACTGTCAGCACGATTGTATGAATTGGCTAAGCTATTTGAGAAGCAATTCGACAATGCCTATTCAAATTTCAAATTCTTATTCCCCTTGACCCAGAAATTCTGTTATTCTCCCTCTGTTAGACTGTTTTTTGGCATTTGCACAAATATATGTGCATGTGGATCTTCACTGCAGCATTGTTGGTAAAAGCAAAAAAGGAACATCCCAGTATAGCAAGGGAGTAGTTTGTATAAACTATGATATGGCTAAACAGTATGATCAAGATGTTTTTAAAAAATCGTATAGATCTACATATACAGATAAGCTCACCAGTAAAAAAAAAAAAAAAAAAAAAAACAAGCAGAAACAATATGCACAGTGTAATTGTATTTTGGTTAAATAAAATATTGTGTGTGTGTGTGTGTGTGTACATGTGAATGTTTTTGTGTATGTAGTTCAATTCCTGAAATACAGACATGAAACCATTAACATTGGTTCCTGCTGAGCAGTAAAGAGGGGTTTTCATGTTTAATTTTTTTGTACTTTTGTATTATTTTCATATTTACAAATGTATCAACATTTGTAATTTTTAAATGAAACACTGAAATTAATCCAACTTTGACAAGTATAACAGAGAATGTCCACCCAGTACTGGAATGGTGTTTGCTTTATCTATCTCAGACATCCCAAATATACAATGAAATGTGGAATGTGTACTGCTAGGCATAATTTACTGGCTTGCTGAAGGGACAGCAGCAGTGTCTTCATTTTATAGCACACAATGTAACATGACACCCCAAATGACACTCAACTAGATTATCTTCCTGAGGTTAACAGTCAGTGCAAAAACTACAGAAATTGGCATGGGATAGTAACAGATTTTTTATTCCCTACAGTTTGAGGTCAAGAAACATGGTCATGAAAATAGGTAGTGGAACATTACTATCAATCTCTTAGTTGAATAATCAGGAGTTCACTTATTTTTGTGGGCGCAGTAATCATAAGATTCTCAGATTTCTCAAACTTCCTTAAAAAATAGCTGACTATACTGGTTAGATTAAAAAAACCTAACATATCCTTTTTTTAGCATAGGCAGTCTTGGAGGGAGCTCTAAAAAGTATTCTGTTCTTGAAAAAACTTGGTGTCCAGTTTTCTCCAAAAAAAAATTTTCATGGTTAACAAAAATTAAAGTGCTGTCATATATCATCCTATTCTAAATATTGTTCATAATATAAAGAAATACAAGAGGATGTCTGCCATTGATGTTTCAAATCTTTTTAGAAAGGTAGGAAGAAACACATGAAAAAGCCAATGCCTGATGAAGTTCTCAGGGAATTCTTACTAACTCTGCTAGGAACTTAAGAGGAAAGGAATCAGAATGAACCGATATGCTCAGGGAAGAACTTCTTAATGGAAGCTTCTTAAATGAGTTTGACCTTGATAGCTAGGGCTTAGATACTGTGAACATTGATATGGCCTATCTCTGATCTGAAGGTCCCAGTATTTGGAGGATGACTAAATCACATTTGACATCCATAATGCATTGGAATAGCATAAGAAATTAGAAGACCTTTCTTTGCTCACTGCCATTTTGTTGAAGTTTGTCTTAAGAGCACAGGCTGATCATCTAACTCAGCAGGTCCAGGTGGTGTAGGACTGAGTACATCAGAACGGCTCAGGAGTTTTAAAAAAAATAACCCATTCCAGGGCTCACCCCCAGAGACTCTGGGAACTTTATTCCAAATACAGGATTCAAAATCTTCTCCAAGTGGTTCGTTCTGTTAGGCAGTCACTAACAGGAACCACTGATCTAACCTAATGCCTTTTTCCTGTCAAGACTAATCCTAAATCATTTCTGGAAAATACCGTCTTAGAAATAGCTTTAAAAAAAAAAAAAAAGACACTCTTCAGTGGTTGTCAGCCCTCAACCAGTTCAGTTCATTCTGAAGATTGTTTATCGTCTTACATTCATTGTTTTTCTTTTTTTTTTCTCTTGATGGAGTTTTTTGTTTTTTTTTTTTTTAATATAGTCAATACCTTTCCTTTCCTGCCTTCCTTCGATTTCTGAGGGTGACTTGTTTAGGAACAATTGGTCATAGTATCCTTACTTTTTTGAGGAACCAGTACATTACGATTCCAGCAGTGGCCCACATGTGGCCCACTGCCTGTTTTGTAATAAAGTTTTATTGGAACACAGACTTATTCATTTGTGTATTGCCTACAGCTGCTTTTGTGCTGCAAGGGCAGGGTTGAATAGTTACAACAGAGGAAGAATTTCCTGGATTAGAGCTTTAAAATCTATTTTAATATTCTAACCCAAAAGTTTGGGGGGAAACATTCTGTTTCCAGGCTGGCAAATGCATGAAACACGTGTTACCCCCCCATACTCCTTACCACATCCCAGACAGCCACACTGGCTGGTCTGAGTCTGTACACAGTTTAAGTCTCTTTGCCGTCCTTGTTCTGTGTCATTGTGAGGGGAGAGGGAATTTCTATTTCCCTTCTTTGTGACAAGGTAAGAGGTTTTAGAAATATTTGGGCTACCAAATGAATTTAGCAGACATGAAGCATAGAAGCCTTGAGAGAAGAGATGTAATGGTATCGGGCTTCAGCCATGTGTCCTTGACCCTGACAGCTGCTATGAGCATTTGACTGTTGCATCCAAGCCCTACAGCATACAGTGTATGTTAACATTTTGTATGCTAGATCTGTGACATTCCAGATGGGTGTGAACTATCTGGGGTTTGCGTTTCCCACTTTGATAAGGTTCTACTAGATTGACTGCAAATGCTTTGAGGTGTTGCAGTGGGGCTGGTTAAGTGAAATTGTATTAAGACCAACACTGTTAAGATTTCAGAACCCCCTGACTTTTAGCCACCAATAAATGAATTTACTTTATATATGTTAAAGTCCACATTATAGCCAGCCATGTCACAAAGTTTGTGTGCCTAACTGTTCTCGTTCTATTCTAATCTTACGTACTGTCTTTCCACAACTGGATTGGCATTTGGGCTAAAGTTTCCCAAATCCAGGAGGAACTATTTCTCCCTTTCCTATGAAACCTTTGTGCTTTTTCTAAGTGGTTAATTTAATGTTAAGAGTGAATTTTTATTATATCCTCTGAATCTTAAAAAATTAAGTCATTCATTAAAATTAATGGATTCCTATTAGAACAAATCAGGCTAATTGAGACTATTGTTTGGTCAAAGTTGACCAGTGAATTTCCTTGGTTAAAAGGGAACAGCTGATTTCACTACTACCCTGAGTGATGGAGAAACTCTTGTTTGACCAGATAAGAGGCTGATGTGGCATCTTCTCCCCTTCTTAAGTATATGAAACTCCTTTCAGCAGTGAAGCGTACTTTCTGTAGTGTGCTTTCTGTTCTTATCAGGAGAAGGGGGCTGGGTGCGATCAGCTAACTAGGGTACAAGCTAGACCTGCCCACAGGGCAGGACATTTCGTTGGGGCTTCGGGTCCAGTTCTAGATGTCAACACCAAAAGTCTTGTTAACCAGGTAAGACCCTGTGTCTCGAAGGAATGACAGTAAATTATAGGACATAATCGAGTAAAGCAGCTGACATTTGAGGACGTCCTGCCTGGACAGACCAGTTGAAGTTTCCGACAGGCCATGGTCCAGGATTGAACTCCAGCCCCTAGAGGATTACTGCTGGCAAGAAAGCAAACCCTACAGGTCCCAGGCAGGTTCCTAGAACAGAGAACGCCCCATACCGAGAACTGGAGAGTGTTACCTAAAGTGAGGGTAAGGACCAGGACAAAAGCCCAAATGAGAGAACTTCAGTACAGAGTCAGAGCTGGACAACAGGAAAGATGGCTTTTAAAAGTCTATCATTAAACACTTCTCATATGCCAGGCAGGGTTTTAACTATTTAACAATCCTCATAGCCACCCTAGTAAGGCGGGTACTATTATTATCCCCATTTCAGACAAACAAGCTGAGGCACTAGGAGATGAAGGTTGCCCAGTCCCAGTTAATAAATCGTAGAACTAGTATTTAAAGGGGGGCAGTCTAATTGCAGTGCCCTACTCCTGATCATGATGACACCTTGCTGTCTTGAGGCTAAGTGACTGTGTCAGGCTCAAGTTAGTGAGTTAGGCTCACCTTTGGTCCTAGAATGAGTGGAGGGGGATGGGAGCTTGACTGTTGAACTTGCTGAGGAGTTGGGGAGCCCCTGGCACCATCTGGCCTAGAAACGGCTGTTTCCAGTGCAAAGCTGTGGCAATATTGAAATGTGTCATAATCACTAATAAATATAAATGAAGAAAGAAAGGCATTTCTAGTCATTTGAGTTTAGCATAAAATCCAAGTGGAAGAAAATGTCATCTTAAATCCTCGTCTAGGGAAAGAGTGGGGCTGCCCAGAAAAAGGAACGTAAGGACAAAACAGTGTGGGGGAGTTGAATGAAAAGCGACTAATGTGTTCACATCTGACGTAAGTGTTAGCAAGAATATCAGAACTATAAAGCAAAAAATAAAACCTCTGAAGCAGTGTGGCTGTTTATCTCGGGGAACTCCTTTTTGGAGAATTCGCAGTTTTAAAAATTGCTTTTGCCCCTGACATTAAGGGTTCCCTGAGGTGGAGCAGAGTACAAGGATCATCCACCTACTGAATATTTTGTAAATCAGATGTATAGTTAAGTAGTAAGCCCTATCTACTTTTTCCACCCCACCCCAAGCAGTTTTAAAATTCAAGTATGCTAACAAACATTACGTTTACTCTGCACTGAATACAGATAGTAGATGTTTGGTTCCATAATTTGGGACTTGATTTATTTTTATTTTTTTATTTTTATTTTTTTTTACTGTATATTTGAATGAACTAGAAAACTGGTATTTTTGCCCATATTTGCAAAGTCATTGTTAACTCATTTCTGTGATCTCTAAAGAACAACATTAATGTCTGATGCAGTGTTCAGTGTTTTACCTCCTCAGGCAGTAATATTAAGAAATAAAAATAAGAGGAGGTCTCTGATAGGCCTTCATTTGATATAGTAGTGAAATTGGTTTTCTAATAGTGAATGTAATTTTCCTCCAAAGTCATTCTCATGTGGCTCATAAAATTGTGAGGGTAACTCATAAAGATTGGTAGAACCATTCTGGTGGTTTTGAATGATCTTTTTAAATCTGAATTAAAATGCAAACACTAAAAGCACTTGATGTAATAAATAGCCTCTGTGAGAGTTTTAAACAGCAGCTTTCTGTATTCTCATGTGCACTTTTAGGACATTGAAGTTAAATTTATATAAAGAAAACTATGGGACCTTATTAATAAAATTCAGTGTTGCTGTGAATAACCACTTTCTGGATTTTCTCATCATGTGTCTACGGAGCTTTTAAATGGCTTAAGGTCAGCTTTGGTTCCCAAGGAAACTAAGACTGTGTTTGTATCGTTCTTATCTGTGTGCTGAACAAACACTGCTTAGTTATTAGAGATATTTAAAGGTTTTTTTTAAATTTATTATTATTTTTTTAATTTGAGAGAGTGGGAGGAGGGGGGTGGAGAGAGAGAGAAAGAGAGAGAGAGAGAGAGAGAGAGAGAGAGAGAATGAATCCCAGGCAGGCTCCATACTCAGCACGGAGCCTGACTTGGGACCCGAACCCATGACCCTGGGGTCATGACCTGAGCCAAAATCAAGAGTCAGACGCTCAACCGACTGAGCCCACCCAGGCGCCCCATTAGAGATTTTTAGAATACTGATTACTGTTGATTACATCCTTTGCTTTCCATTTTAAATAATAAACCCTAGTTAAATTATTTTTTAATAACTGCATGACTTCCTGAGTGATGAATGCTATCAGATCACTTTCCAATTCCAGGGAACTTTAAAAATTTAAACCATGAGCCTGAGGACTTTAGTCACTTTATCTTAACCACCACTGCTAGAAAAAGAAACAAAAAAGCTTTAAAAAAGCACAAAGAAAGAACTTCAATTACAACACGTACTGTTTTTTTAGAGTTAATGTTTAGAGACCGTTTTTCCAGACACCGAGACTAGCATAGGGTGAAGAAATGTCTGTGCAGCGTGCGACAGGGTCAGAGACTTGGGGCTTTGTCCTGGTGGAGAGCGTGGTGTCTTTCCGGGGGTTGATTTAGCTCCACTTGTGTTAAACTTTGTGACTTTCCTGCAGGTGGATGAAAGCCAAACTGGAGAACCGGGCTGGCTTGGAGGAGAATTAAAAGGAAAGACAGGATGGTTCCCTGCAAACTATGCAGAGAAAATCCCAGAAAACGAGGTTCCTGCTCCAGTCAAACCTGGGCCCGACACGACCTCTACCCCTGCACCCAAACTGGCCGTGCGTGAGACCCCCGCTCCTGTGGCTGTGACCGCTCCAGAGCCCTCCACGACCCCCAACAACTGGGCTGATTTCAGCTCCACGTATGTATAGACACACTGTTCCTGAGGACTTTTGAACTCCTCACTTAGTAATCTTTTTAAAGTATTCTTAGAGCTTTGGGCTGTACCTCTGTGTAAAGGAGCAGGCTGATTTTCGTTACCTCTCTCCCTGACCACTCTACTGGCAAATTGTGGATTATGCTGTCTGAACTCAATTTAATTATTTCATTGCTCAGCAGTGGTATGCCCTGGGACAAAATAAAGCCTGTTATCTCGTTGCGTTCAGTAATTTGTATCTTTCATTCTTGTAGAAGAAATGGAGAAATACCATTTCCTAATAATCTGTTTGACATCCAGGGCAGTCAGCAAATAGAGTCATTTCCTGCATGTAAACAGCACTTTTTTGCTGGTCAGAAACAGAAATTGAATTCAGTCATGTGGTTCTGAATAAGATAGAAAGCTGTTTCCTTTAAAGCTTGCCTCTGTCATCAGTCTTGTGCACACGTACCTGTGAGCAAAGATATGTGTGCTCTTGGCCATTGTGAGTGCCACGCCCTTGGGCATCAGGAAATAGCATTAAAAACTGTGTAAGCAGAGGTTTGAAATGATAAAGGAAGCTGCTGTCCACACTTGTAGTTACAGGACCATGATCTACACATACAGTTGTCTAAAAATATTTTCTGCAAGCATCCAGTTAAGAGTGATAAGTAATTTCACTCTTGTAATTTCTTTTTCAAGCCTAATCATCTTTCAGAAAAATCAAATGGAAGGTAAGGAGTCAAGTCCTGCTAGAGACAGATCAGATGGCTCACACAGAGCAGAGAAAGAAACATGGTGACCAACAGCAGAGGAAGTGGAAGGAAGGATGTAAGACAAAGCAAGTTTTTCCTGCTCCGATTTTCATGTAAAAGGTTGAAGGTGCTAAGAAAGGTCCTCCCTGTCTAGTTTCTGCTTAGAAGTCACCTTCCTTTAGCATGGTTCCAAGTTGAAACTCCATTCCTCTCTTGATCTCATTAAAAAGTTCGGACTTTTTAAAACTGAAGCTTAGGCTAACATAGAAGATAAATACCGTGTTTTCCAGGATTTTGTTCTGCTGTGATCCGGTCATTGTGACAGTCTTCCTCGATAAACGTGTGCTGTGCGGTTCTCCAGCTGTCATTAGGGGGCATCTTATTTTCTAAACCCAGAATCAGGATGTGCAGTCCAACAAAGGAATTATTTTGATTTTCAAATGTGTTTATGTCTTACAAAGATGTAAAAAGTAAATTACATGTGGATCTGCAGTCACACAGATGCATATAGTTAACATTAAAAAATTCACAAAATCAAAGCTGCCCCTGAGACCCAGCACAACTGGTCACTGTCAGGATTCCACCTGCAGTTACCCTGGTGGCTCGACATAGGCCTGGTGCTTGCAGCGGGATGGACAGGACAGACAAACGGAGTTAAGCACCAGCTGCCAGACTGGCACGTGTTCGAATGTGGTGTGTAACTTCTTTTTTGCTGATTGCACTGTTGTTGCTACAAATGACCGTGATCATTGTGTGAGGATGCTTCTCTGGTGCTTTAGAGTTGCAAAGAGACGCTATCCCATATTTCATGTGACCCTCACCACTAACCAAAGTGGCAGAATGTTGTTCCCATTTTATCAATGAGAAGTGAAGATTCAGAGAAACTCTCATAATTTGCCTGAGGTTCATCGCTAGTGAAGCTCAGATTCAAACCCAAGTCTAAGGCTCTTTCCTCCCCATCATGTTCTTGAACCTTTTTTTTTTTTAAGAATATTTATTTATTCAATTGTTTGTTTATTTTAGAGAGAGTGTGTGAGTAAGCGAGGTACAGAGAGTGAGACTGAAAGAATCCCACAAGGTGCAGAGAGACAGAGAGAGACAGGGAGAGTGCGGAGCCCAGACTGGGGCTCGAGCTCACCCAAAGCAGGACTCAAACTCACGAACTGTGAGATCATAACCCGAGCGGAAGTCAGATGCTTAACTGACTAAGCCACCCAGGCACCCCTATTTATTTTTTATGTGTTTGCTTATTTTTGAGAGAGGGCGAGAATGTAGGGGAGCAGGTGAGGGGCAGAGAGAGAGGGGGACAGAGGATCTAAAGCAGCCTGTGTGCTGACGGCCGAGACAGCCCGATGCCAGGCTCGAACTCACACACTCTGAGATCGTCACCTGAGCCAAAGTCTGACACTTAGCCGACTCGGCCACCCAGGTGCCCCAGATGTTTCTGAACTTTAGAAAGCCCCATAAATGTACTGGGTCTGCGTCTGCATCTGCTGCAGGTGAAAAGCTGGCACCTCAGGAAGTACTTCTCACGGAGGCCTACTTTTCCTTCCAGGTGGCCCACCAGCACGAATGAGAAGCCAGAAACCGACAACTGGGATGCGTGGGCAGCCCAGCCCTCACTCACCGTCCCAAGTGCAGGCCAGCTACGGCAGAGGTCAGCCTTCACTCCAGCCACGGCCACGGGCTCGTCTCCATCCCCTGTGTTAGGCCAGGTGAGAGCAGTCAGTGGGTGTGCGTGTGTATACATGCTGTATACAGTGGCGGCACATTTGGCAAGTGCTTATTGGCCGGGTTGTTTGTATGCACGTGGGGCAGTTGGCAGTGCGGGATTCGGTTCACATTTTCCCGACAGCATCGAGGGGCCTGAAGAGTTCAGAGGAGGGTGATCTCCCGCACAGGTTGACCAGGGAAGCTTCACTGGGGAAGTGGCATTTGAGTGGCATCTTACAGTGGGTCAATTTTAGTAGGAAGTGGAGCCGGCCGGCCCAGCAGCCAGCAGAGTCTGTGAGGAGGCGCTTTAAAGTAGGAGAGGAGAGTGTTTGGCGAAAAGCACGGACCAGTCAATTTGGGGAGACCACTGAGTATCAGAAAACACATTGACTGACTATATGTCAATGGGAAGCTCTTAAATGCTCAGCTAAGAAAGTGTTTCTGAAAGGATAAAGTAGTTGTTCTGAATATTGCTACCCAATACAATAAAGCAGTATTTTACTTACTACGATAAAGCTAAAGCAATGAAATGTCTATAAATAACCAAACCAAACAGAGCAAATGCCCATCTGGCAGGCAGTCAGGGGTCAGGGTCAGGGTCAGGGTCAGGGTTAGGGTTAGGGTTAGGGTTAGGGGGGAGGTTCGAGCTGAGGGCGTCGAGCTGTCAGCAGCCAAGGACGGAGACACGCGCCCGTTGGAGCCAAAGGAGAGGAACGCGGTCCAGATCGAGAAAAGGATTTGGCCTCAAAGACAAGCAAGGAGGGCACAGAGGGAGGTTTTTAGTTGGCGGGAGGAGTTGGGTGGGTTTTAGGCATGTTAAGTTGAAGATGAAAATGGGGCACCAGGTGGTCCCGTCTGACAGGCAGTTGGAACATAGGTCGGCTCCGAGGAAATGCGCGAGATCGTCAAAAAAGAGAGAACAGAGCAAGTAAATGGAAAATACGCGGAGCGTGTGTGTTCTCCGATCTGGGAGAGGAGCAGGAGCCCGCGGCTGGACACGCTCCTTCCCTGTGCTTCTGTTGTTTGCAGAAAGGGGGGTGGTGAGGATCAGGGCAGAGAGCGTTCCGCGAGAGGAGTGTACTTGTGGCCTGGGAAGGAGTAGGGTAAACCAGTGGGGCTGGGGGAGTGGAGGGGGAGCAAGTAGGAGCTCTGTGGCAGGGAGGGAGGGCACCGCGGAGAGAGCGAAGCACTAGAGACGAGCGCCAGGAGCGAAATGGTGTGTGATGGAAATGACATTCAAGCTGCAGAAGGAAGACGGGATCCTTCTTCTGGGGGGGGGGGGGGGGGAGGGCCGAGAGAGAGAAAGGAGGTCAGGTGGCCGCATCCTTGGGAGGGGACCCTGAGGGCCGGCAGAGTGCACACAGTTGGAAGTGAGCGAAGAGCAAAGGTTTGCTTGGCTGGATGGAACCTGAATCTGTAACTGGTCGTGTCTGCACTTTGTCTCCACTTTCTGCGACGATGCTTACTTCACAGTTTGGGACCAGAAATAGCGATAGTAATAGAAGCTGCTACTATTGCAATTATTACTGTCACAGCAACACTAGGGATACATTTATTAAACTCTCTTAAGCCAAAGTGTCTCTGTTTTATAATGTGGAAACTGAGGCCTAGGGAGATTAAACAGTTGTCCCAAGTCACAAACTTGGTAAGTGACATGCTTGGGGTTCCAGCCGGACCGAGTCCATGCTGTGTTCGGCCCCAGGCTGGTTATTAGGACATTTCCACGTGGAAAAGTTGACAAGGCAGGGACGGGGAAGACGTTTCAGGAGGAGAGTGTATGAAATTCCAGGGAGGGCCCATCCAGCCGAAATGGCTGACCCTGGGGTGTCTTCTTGGCCCAGACATGAGTGGAGGCTGGAGGGATTCAGCAGCAAAGAGAGCCGCGGGCTGCCAGGCCGTTAGGGTCGGGGTGGGGGGGGTTCCTGCGAGCCCCAGAGAGGAGAATGGGAGGTGGGGAACATAAGGGCTTTGAAGGAGTGCACAGTTGAGATGGAAAGGGGTAGGGATGTCATCAGTTTAAGATCATGAGGACCCAGGAAGACGAGGATATAGAAGTCGTAAACATGGACACCCGGGCTGTTCGACCTGGCATAAATACTCTGTATGTAATCCCAATGCAGTGTTGAGAGGAAAGTGTCCTCTAGAGGCAAGTACAGGTTGGTTCTGAATGAACTGTCTTTGGGCGTTGTCCTTATTTCTGTCCATTTTCATGGGTGATTGAATGTTGACGTCTTTTTTTTTTTTTTTGTATTATCTTACGATATCGTGATGGTTTTATGTTACAGTTTTTAAAAAGATAATAAATGCCTCACCCTGCCTTTCCAGCCTCACCTCCTCCTCCACCCCTCCATGAAACTAGGCCGCACGCACCCCGGAATGGTGCTCCACTTCCTGGACCCTTGGCCGTGTACCACCTTGAGGCCTCTGCCCGTGCTGTGCCCTCGGCCCAGAGCGCTCTTCCTCCGAAGCCCTAGCCCGCAAAATCCTTGTCGTCCTGCAGGGCCCGACTCCAGTGCTGCCTCCTCTGTGAAATGTTCCCTGTTGCCCTCAGGCACAAGCCATTCCTCTTTTCTCTCTGTTCCCACAGCGAATAGCTGGAGCCTCTTTGTAGTCGATTTCATTCTGACAGGTGGTACACGTCCCTGTGTGTATCTCTCTCTCTTTCCCGTTAATTGTGACGTCTTTGCTAATAATACCATACTGACCTTTTAGTGTAGTGCTTTACTGTTAATAAAGTCTTTTACCCTAAATTATTTTGAGGAGGCAGAGGTGGCACTTTATTCATCTTTGTAACCCCACGTGGCCTTTGCGTGTAGATGTTTGTGATGGATTACCGTCGATCTATGCCAGCCAAACCGCTGTGTCTCTAAAAAGGAGCTAAAACAAGCACAGTCCAACGCAGGGCATCTTTTCCTGTGCCCACCCAGACGAAGATATCAGCTAATTATCCTTTGAGACTCTGTAAGATTTCTGCTCCAGTATTGATTAATCTTTCACCAAACATTGGAAATGGGGGAGGGGGGCCCTGGGCAACTTGGGGGGTTAAAATAGAACCAAATGTAAAAGGCACACAGCCAGGTGCCACGAAACAAATACGACCTCCTGGCTTGTTCAGTTAGGGGGCTCTGGATGGCCACACAATGGCTTGGGGATAGGTTGGCAGGTTTTTGCCTCTCCTTTTGAAACTAAGTGATCACTAAGAGACGGTGAAGCATCCAGCCCCCATCGCGGCACTGAAGCAGGGTCCTTTGTGGCTGTGTGTGTGCTGTGCCCATGTACACCTCCTGGAAAGGAGTGTTCGTGCCAGTGTTCATGTGCCCTGAATTGCTAACAGATCGCAGAGTAATGAGAGGTCCTTTATGTATTTCCACACAAGGGTGAGAAGGTGGAGGGGCTACAAGCGCAAGCCCTGTATCCTTGGAGAGCCAAAAAAGACAACCACTTAAATTTTAACAAAAATGATGTCATCACCGTCCTGGAACAGCAAGACATGTGGTGGTTTGGAGAAGTTCAAGGTCAGAAGGGTTGGTTCCCCAAGTCTTACGTGAAACTCATTTCAGGGCCCATAAGGAAATCTACAAGGTATTTGTGTATTTATCTGCTTCTATTAGATGAAAACAATGTTAGGCATTAAGTTACTGCTTGCATTAGTTAAGATTCACAGATAGGGCTGCGGGATTATTTTGTCTTCTGGGTCTTTTAACTGCAAAAGTTAAGAGTACGCAGCCACAGAAGGCAGCCTCTTGACAGATAAATGTCAGTTTTTTCTTCCCTTGTGGAAGCCTGTATGTCTCGTTTTTCATTGACTTCTGTAAGAGGGAATTCTACGCCAAGACCTTGAACATTCTTGCGGATTTGTTGGCAGATAATGCCTCTCTTCATGCTTAGTACCCAGTCCTGGGCCAGGTACACGTGAATACCCACAGGCCCAAAGCATTTGGGGAAACAGTGGAAAAAATGAACTATCTTTTTTTGTTAGGAACCTTATGGCATGGACCCTTTAACATAAAGAGTGTTTAATTATTGCGTTCATGTAGGTGTTCAAAGCAAATTATGAGCTTTAAGAAGATTTTAAAAAATAGCAAAAATATTGGACAAGCATCTATCATTCAGGCTTTGAAATAGACCAGTATACCCTGACTGTGCACCCAGCCTTGCAAGTGCTGAAACACAAGAATGTGAGCCTAGAATCATGCCTTGTGCACCTTGTGTATTTTAACTTAGCCCAAGAACAACTGTCTCAGCTGTAGATTGCTCAAAGTTTAAACGTTAAACAGCTTAAAAAGAAAAATAAAAAGGAAAATCAATGTCATTTGTATGATTTTCTTTGAAGATAAAAATTAAACTCCTTTCTCCCCCAACCTCTTTCAGCATCGATTCTGGTTCTTCAGAAAGTCCCGCTAGTCTAAAGAGAGTAGCGTCTCCAGCAGCCAAGCCAGCCGTTTCAGGAGAAGGTGAGAACCTGAGTCCAATTATGTTCTTTAGAAGGGTCGAGGGGATCACATAATATAAACTGTAAATGTTTGAAAGAGACTGGATTTCACTTTAAAATAGATCGCATTAATTTATGTTCAGTGTATTCAACTCCGAGGTAAAATGAAAGGTGAAGATCTTTACAAAAGCAAAGGACTTTCAAAATAGTATCAGATATATTAATCATAAAAACTGAATCTTCTAATTCTATTTGATTCTGAGCCCTTTGACTTTTGAAAGAGGCCCATCAGCATGACTAGGGATCAAGTTTTGTGAGCATCTCTGTCGCTGAATTGTGGTCATTGCTGCCCTTGATAGAGTCTGTTCCTCCCTGACTCGTAGATAAATGTTTTGTTTTAAAACTGTAATTACACAGTCAAGAAAAGCTGTCTGTCACAGCAACCTCAAAGCCATCTTCTACTACCTCAAATGCAAGTGAGAAGTTCAATTTTTCTGTTCCTTGTAAATATCCACACCAGATGATTTAGGCCTAAAAAAATCATCTTGAGTGCTTATTACACTATTAATTAGTTGCTTTATTTCCTGGTCTTTACCCCATGAAATAATTCTAAGGATTGTATATGCCGATATATGGGATGGATTTTAAAATGCACAAAACCCACATGATCCAGGCTCTAATGGTAAAAATCTTACGTCTTTTCTACATTCAGTGTAGCCATTATCGTAGTCTTCATTGAAGAATGCTGCCCACACTTCACACGCTTTCCACCACAAGTCTGAACAGTGTTGGTAGCTAGCAGATGTCTGCCCAGTTGTGTACTAATTTTTCATGGGTTCCTCGAGTAAGTTATATGAAGATAGAGTGTTCTCTCTAGTTTGTTTGCCATCATGAGATTGTTGCATTCCTTAGAAAGCTTGCCTTGTGAAAAAGAGTTATTAAAACAATTTTTTCAGCGGAGGCAGCAAGGAATAAGGTTTAGTGGTATTTCAGACTCACGGTAACACGATTACTTTTTCAAAGGGAATTTTCGAAGCAAAAATGTTTATAAGTTTCTAGGTATAGCGGTAAAACCTCATTACTACTGAATAAATCCAACATTTTGTTACATCCATTTGTTGCTATCTCCACCAAAACAATCATTGGCATAGTTCTATCCGTATACATTCTTATCAGTCATCTTAATGAGTTTTTTATCCGCTGTGAGCAGAACAAGGCAAAAAAAAAGCTCTTTTTTAAACATAGCATGTACATCAGTATTGTATAAAGCAAATCATGATTCCACCCAAATTCAGTGTGTTATATCTAGTTAAGTCTCATCAGAAGGCCAAAGTTGATACCCTGGCTCTTCACCTAGTAGCCATGTAACTTTGGTCCTGCCTCCACTTCCTCATCTGTAAAGTGGGCGTAAGGACCGCCCCTTCAGGTAGGAAACCATTACAGGATAAGGAGATAATTTGTGTAAAGCATTTAGGAGAAAGGTCAGTAGGTATCTGCTACTGTTACTTCCTGTTTGCTTCAGTCTCTGGATGGTCAACACAGAGTCCCTTAATGCAGCAAGCATGCTCATGTACGAGCAGTGTTGATGAATGCTGATTTGTTTTGAAACCTGTGCAGAGGCCTCATCCCTTGAGGCCCCACTATATAGGTCACAGGTGAGCCAACACATTGTTTAAAGTTGAGTAACAGAAGAGAAATTCTAATCTTAGGTGACAATGACTACATCCCTTGTGAGGTGACTTAGGTGCATTAGGAAATGCTAGGAGAGACTGAGGGCATTCAGGAGCCATGCGGGAGCACTTGGCATTTGAAGTTCTGAGAAAAGCTATTTACATATAATAATGGGCCCCTTATTAATACTGAACTAAAGGTAATCCCATTTCAAGTAAACCATAAACCAGGTTAGATTGTCCATTGGCACAGCTCTTAGAATATACCGGCATGGGAACGGCCAGTGCCCTGTGTTAAAACGTCTCTAGAGGAGGGTCTGAGGGCCACTGTGTGGCCACCGTCCTGGCTCCCAGCTCTCATGGAGCCCTGCGGGAGCCTCAGATTCCTGGGTACGCAGCAGGGCAAGCAGTGCCACAGTCTTTGCAGTCTCCTTGGTATCCCGTAGTGCAGCAGCAAGTTCAGCCAGAGTTCATGCTTCTGAAGTTTCTTAAACATTTTGCAAGTTACTTCAAAATGCAGATCTGTTTTTGAGCAAGTGACTTTTCAGTGCAAGAATCACTGGGGAAAGTCTGGATTTGCCAGGGATCCTATCTTACATGGCCAAACACGAGCAAAGGAGCAAGGAACAGAGCAAAATGAAAAGGGAAAGGTCAGAATATTGAGAAACCAGAAAAAGGAATATATTAGTGAGAAAAAGAATGTCCTTAGCAAAACTGCCAGACTTTGATTTCCGTGTGTGGGAAATCATTTTTCCACGTTTTCATTGTGGAGGTGGGTGTTAGCAGCACTGGAGGACTAAAGACAGAGAGTCTTCTGTTCTCCCTCGCACATTTGGATGACCTTGTGTCTGCCGTGGGGTCCGTGCTCGCCAGCAGTCGCAGGTCAGCACTGCTGAATTTGAGGCCGCCCTTGGAGGGCTCTCCCACGTTGTAGAGCTGCCCATGTTAGCACACGCATTAGGGTGTTTGTGTTTTTTTTGTGTTTGTTATAGCTTTCATTAGTACCTCCCGCAGAGGCCCTTATAATTAGCCAAAAGGATTCCTCCATACTGAATTTCTGCCTAGTAATTAACAGTAGGCTGTGAATGTAAGGGCTCCACGTGAAGGTTTAGTGAGAAACCTGCATCATCCATCATAAAAATGAACTTTCTGGGTGAAAGGTGATTTAAAAAAAAAAAAGCCTTTAAAAACATACACAAAAGGCCTAGGATACGATGAAGAAAAAGTAGAAGCGAGAAACTTAGGTCTGTCTTTCTATAAATCTTACTCTGTTCCTAGTGTAGTGTCTAGAATGTTGCGCCTAGTGATCTTTCGGAGAGTGTGATTCGGTTTCTAAGCCTTAGTAAAACCAACTGTTTGTCCTCCAAAAAGAAAAATTTCCTTTGGAATGCACACCCTTCACATTCAAGGGGGTAAAGAACATTGACTCTTATTTTTGTAAGACTTGAATAATAAAATGTAAGAAACTGAGATTTATTTTCAGCTCGTTCAGAAAGGCTTGCCTGTTTTCTGGGATTGAGTAGACATTACTTTCACCGTCCGTCCGCTACCTGTTTATGCACTTGAATGACAAGTAGGTGCCCATTTTTAACTAAATAGTATACATCTTTTGTGTTTTAACAGCTTCCTACCATCTGTGTGTATGGCACAAAAGGGCATAAGTTTTCACTCGGGCACTTGAATAATGAAAAGAACTGTGTCTAATTTACATGCAGGATATACTGTATCTAAAAATTTTCCAAAATTGTGACTTGATACCCTCAAAATGGAAGTACAGACATTTGATGTGTGTACAAGATCCTGTGTGCTGGTGCATCTAAACCAGCACTCAGCACAACACGGGTACTCAGTAAATGTTAAAAGTAAATGTGAAAACCATTTTCACTCAAAATCATGACATCAAATGGTAGCTCACTCTTGGTACTCAGTGTCGGTAAACATGCGGTCGGCTCTTTGGTTCCCGTGGCTGGGTCTTCCCAGGAATTGTCTCCCTGTCTACAGTTAACTGAATTTTTATGTGCAACTTGGGAATTTAGAGCCCAGGGTGTTCTGCAACTCTGTTTTATCTGTGACTAGCCTTTCTCTTGAATGGATCTTACCCTAACTTCCTTATTCATAAACTTGCATTTGCAAAGCTGTCTGGGATTTCTGTAAACAATCAAGCTCTCTCCGTATCTCAATATTTCTCCCCACCAGAATTTATTGCCATGTACACTTACGAGAGTTCTGAGCAAGGCGATTTAACCTTTCAGCAAGGGGATGTGATTTTGGTTACCAAGAAAGATGGTGACTGGTGGACAGGAACAGTGGGCGACAAGTCTGGAGTCTTCCCTTCTAACTATGTGAGGCTTAAAGATTCAGAGGTAAACCCACATTCACTGTTTCCTCCCCCTTTCGGTGCGGTGATTCTCTTTGCAGGGAGTCACAATATTGGACGGTGGAACACTTTGATGGGTTTTGCTAAAGTTCTGGGACGTTGACAGCAAATACAGTGACCTGTAATTGTTTCAACTTGTCATTTGGTGCTGCAGGGTTCCCACAAGCAGAAGAACCCCCTGGGACTAAGTGGAGATTGCATATAAGGAGGCTGGTCTGCGTCACCTTGGTTAATGTTCAGTATTCATCTCTGTTCCTACATGTGACTGACTTAGGATTTGGAGTAAACATTCTTGATCAGGTCTTCAAGAGCACTGATCTGGGGTACCCGAAGGAAAACAACACAGCAGTATTTTGCCCATGTCAACAAAAGAATGTGGGTGATACTGGCCCTAGAACATTGGGCAGTAGAGAGATTCCAAAATTTATATTTTGCCTACACATTAGGGAGACACAAGATCTAAGAGATCGATACACTTTTGGCTAAGCCTTAAGGTCTCAGACCCATTGATCAGGGCCTGAATATGTTCTAAATGCTGTTGTCCTTAGAAATGGCTGCCATTGTTGTTACATGGGGCCCTAAAAATTCAGTTGCATAACAAGTGGTCTTGAAGTGGTGCGAGTTTAACGGAATGGGGTGGGCCTCCAGAGTACTGGAAGCCTAGCTTTGTAGGGGCCAATGTCAAGTTAGAGGAGAATTTCAGGGTAAACCAGTGTACTCATTTAACAGAGAGCCATTGCACATAAATCAACCAACAAGAACTGGCTTTCCCCTACCCCACCCCCTGCCCCCACCCCCACACCTGCTTTCTCAGGTGTAAGCCAGTGGACCGAGTTCCTCTCTCATTTGAATGCCAGTCTCAGGGTGTAAAATTGGGCTTGGTCCACAGGCCCCGTGTGTGCAACTGCTTTGGAAGCCAGGAGCCTGGCCCCACACTGCAGCCTGTTCATGGGCCTTCTTCCCTGCAGTTCCCAGGAGCACTTTGTATTTTGCTCGAGTTTTGTTTTTTCAGGGAGTGTCATTTTTGCTGTTTGGGGTTTTTTGTTTTTGTTTTGTTTTTTCTTGCTGTGGTCTTGAAAGCAGCTTATTGAAACACCCAGGAGGGGTTTGCAGGCATTTGCCTACCCCTGGAGAATATGGCAGAAGCCAGGTAGACAGTACTTCTGTCCAAGAGGACAGCCAGCGAATTGTCCTCCTCAGACCTGGAGAGGGGAGAATTAGGCTTTTCTCCAGGCTTCCAGTTGGATCCAGTAAGAATCCTACAGATGGTATTTCAGGGGCACAGGGGAAAAAGTACAACTAAACTCAGTTTCTGTTACTAGGCATGAAGACTTTTCAAGTGACTACCTGTTGGTTCAATTAAAAGACAAAAGCCACTACTTATATTTTACTTTAGTAAATTATAGTCTTCTATTAAAAAAAAAAAAAAACATCTGAAATCAATAAGTGAAAGAAAAAAAAAACCTGACATTTTTAAAGGTAAGCTGAGTCGTAAGGTGCTTTTTAACCACAGTCTTAAATTATGAGCCACAGAAGAACTAACAGCGCTAAAGATTTTGGACAAACATTGAGTGAGCTACATTATTTCATAATGATGAAAACATCGAAAAAGTCAGCTCTTTCAGTTTCCTTGGACACGGAGTTCAGTGTATAAGGAAAATTTCCTGCTAAAACCAGACCCAGCCTCCGATACCAGAATTGCCCTCTGGGCATGGGAGTGTCTGTCCTATCCTGGCTTTTCCCTTCTCTGTAAGGGCAGGGCTGGGGCACATGGCCTGGGGCGGCTTTTCTCCTGCATTCTTGAGGGGCGCCAGGACAGAACCTGATCTCCTGAGTTGTCTTAGCTTCTGTGCGGCTGTCATGTTAAACAAGGAGCGCACTGGGGCTCCCGTGGCTGGCTCAGTGGATAGAGCAAGTGGCTCTTGATCTTGGGGTCGTGAGTTCAAGCCCCATGGGTGGAGAGCCTACTTTAAAAAAAAGTGGGGGAGCACACTCAAGCTACTTGGACTCTATCATTGGGTGTTGCCAATTGCAATGTTCCTTTTATGGACTATGGAGAGCGTATTACAAGCCTGTACTGGGAAAGTAACTGGTCATTTGGAATCTTATTTCATTAATATTCCTTTATTTTGATACGCAGCGTATAAAAATAGGAAAGGAGATTGGTATTATACATCTTGATAATACAGAAATCATAATCAGTGTGAAACTTGTAACTCAAACTTTCCCCGGTAAATGGTTATTAAATTTCAATGACCCAAATAAAGAGACTATGATATGTTAGATAAATGACATGTTTTTATTCTTACAGTAACTGTCATTTACTTTATTAAGCCTTTTGTTTTGTTTTGTTTTGTTTTTTGTTTTGTTTTGATTGGAAAACTTAATTTACTGGCAGATAGGGACTCGAGGACGAAAATCAATTCAGAATAAAGCACTTTGTAATGACAGATTACAGTCTGGCCCCTGTCCTGACTCGAGGTCTCTGTTGGCTTGTTCAGCTGGTTTAAAATTCCATGAGTATCCATAAAGGAATTCAACCCCAGAGCACTTTTGGAACAATTAGTAGTTGCAAAAAAAAAAAAAAAAAAAAAAAGTATGGTCTGTTTCTATGGATTGTACATCCAGCATTGATAGAGGAATTTCAGTGTTAAGCAGTGTAAGATTTGAGCGGAAGGGATACACAGGAAAGGGGCTGCCTCTTTGGATAAAGATGTCAGTGGGATGGGGGAAGGTGTGTTTGAATTGCCACTGTACTGTTTCCGTTGTTAAAAAAAGAAACCTCTAAAAAATGTGGCTAAATATTAATATTTTATGTAGCAAATCTGGATTTCGGGCTCCTAGATGTTCACAGCCCGTATAGTTTTTGTGTGTGAAATATTGAATGATCATTTGAATATAAGCAGGAGCTCAGTGTTTAGGACACAGACTAACAGTCTTCCTCGCCTGGCACCCCCTGTTTGGTTTGACCCAGGGACAGTATGCTATATACAGACAGAACTTGAGCCCGCTGGGATCCTACAGTGCCACATACTTTGCTCCCTTTTCCCTAAAGAAGAGGCTAAAAGCTGTGTGTTTTAAAGTACTTATTTTGTCCCATGGTTTCCTGGTACCCATCTGAAGTCAGGAGATATACAGTGCTGCTGTGTTTCCCCAGACTGAACAGGGGGCTTTAGGGGCTCGAGCGGGCTTGTGTCATCATTGATCGTTTTTTAAGTTGCATGACCAAAACTCTGCAGTATGCAAATGAGACCTTTTGCTCTGTTTTAAGGGCTCTGGAACTGCTGGGAAAACAGGGAGTTTAGGAAAAAAACCTGGTAAGTTACAAACCCTGATGCTTCTTTTTCAATGTTTTGAATGTAATTGACAGTTGCTCCTGAATCTTTGTTCATTAGAGGCCAGAAGCCTAAAAAGAAAGACAGAAGGACCTTTCAAAGGAGTGGTTGGGGTAGATCCTTTTCGTGAAATCCGTTAATAACGTATACACGGTTATGCAGTATGGCTATTGCTTCACACATGGGGAGCAGGGACATTGCTAGACAGAACGTTCTTGGGTTGTGAAGAAGTAAGTCAGGCAGTGTGGTGGCAAGTTGTAATTCATGGAGCTGTACGATTTGGGCTCAGCCGCTGCTTCATCACCCTCTTGGTAGGTCCAGGACACTCTTTTCCTCTCCTGACAGCACAATCCGTCCCACGACGTAAGTAGTGGAGAAGAGTCAAAGAGCAGCAAAACACAGGTCCCTTTAATTTGGAAGCCCATGGGTTGCTTTGCCTCAGGTACACATTGAAGGCACAAAATTATAGCCATCCCTCCGAATTCAGGACTTTAGTTTATGTAAACAAACTCACATGTGCTACAAAGAGCACCCTGAAAGAGAGGAGAAAGAAACAGATGTGAAATAACACGGTTTGTATGGCACGCCTTCCTCACTTAGGTCATCTGGGCGTTTTTGTCGTGAGGTTCTGTAGGAAACGGTGGGTTGAAGAGTTCCTGCCAGGCTGAGGGGATCTGGTGCTTCTGCGTGTCGTGGTCTGCCCCAGACAGGTTTACCCAGAAAAGTGGGCTCTCAAGTTGCCGTAGGGTTTTAGTCAGACTCCAGATACTGGAACACCCGAGTCAAATCTGTGTTTTCACTGTGAGTGTTTTAGCTTTTGGATTGCCGTTCCAAAGGGTCCAGATGGGCTTAACGTTATCCTAAAACCAACGAGCTGCTCAGGGACACAAAAGACAGAAAAGAATGCTGGGGCAGATTGCTGGCTGTGCATGCCAGGTCCTTTGAGGAGCGGGAAAATCCGAGGCCAAATAGGACACTAATTGGGACTCTCTCCAAACCAGAAACTCTTGGAATCTAGAGCTAGTCCTTGGTGAGTTACAGGAGAATTCTTCCCCCAGCACAGATTTCCCAGAGAGGGCTGGGGCCAAGGTGTGTAAGCTGGCCTCCGTCCTGCTTCCCCTGATCTCCCTGAAGCATCTGGCAGGGCCAGACCTGCCCCCTGACAGCCTGGCGCTCCCAGCATGGTGGCCGGAGGCTGGTGGCAGAACAGGGTCATGGGGGGCTTGTGGCTACTGTGCCTTTTAGAGAAGGGGGAAATACCTGTCAGAGGGGGAGCCTTTTTACCTCTTGCCTTTCTTTCTGTCGTCTTTCTTTACCTCATTCCTTCTTTCTGTCAAGATCTGTTTTGACGGGGAGAGAGCACGGAGGAATAGAACAGTTTGTTCCTCACTGCTTCGAGAAGTTCCGAAAGCAGTCGCTGTGGATACGCCAGAATTTAGTCAGAGAAGGATTTTGTCTTTTCGTACTCGACCTCCTGTGCCAGTAGAAATGTACTCTTCAGAGCCTGGTCTGTGGTGCTGCTGGAATTTTCCCCATGAGATTTTTAACATTCAGGGAAAGTACAGAACTGTTTACGTTTTTTGTTTTTTTTTTCCGTGCTGAACTGTTTATTCATAAAATTCCCCTCTTAACGCCAGATCGTTTTTTTTTTTTTTAACTCGAAATAAAAAGAAATAAACGCGCATTGACATGATTCCTACCTGATATTCAGGGATCACCCTCAAAATGTGAGCCACAAAGAAAATGGTCACGTGGGTGGGGCTGAGCTTCTAAAGCCACAACATGTAAATCAGCTAGTGCCACACTCCCAAAAGTTTCTGGAGAAAATAGGATTTCTCTGTTTACTTACTTGGCCGGTGGGAAAGCTCCACGTGAGTTCCTTCATTCACTTAACCCTCGAGTGAACCCTCGAATGAAGGAACCCTCGAGTTCCTTCATTCACTTGACCCTCGAGTGCTGCGGGGTGGAAGGCGGGCTGGGGAGGAAGGAGGCCCAGCTGCTGGCGACAGGGCGTTCGCAGTAATTGTGGGCGGGGCTGGGACAGAAGGTGCCAGAATTGGGCACAGGAGTGGGGTTCGCGGAGGGAAGTTGGTCAGTGAGTTCTGAGAGATGATGAGGAAGTCCTACAGCAGCACCAAAAGGCCACCCGAGTCCTGGATTGCTGCCTTTGGATTGGAGGTCATGGAATGGGGGGTGACTGAGTGGGCCATCTTCATTTAGTAGAAAGCCAGCCCAGTGCAGTGGCTTTGATGACGTTAATCTGTGAACCCGGGAGGTGACTGTGTCTTCCTAGGAGCTCTTCTTCTGACCATAACGCTGCGCTGCGCTGTTTGGTCTTGTTTTCCAGAAATCGCACAGGTGATTGCCTGCTACACTGCCACGGGTCCCGAGCAGCTCACCCTGGCCCCTGGTCAGCTGATTTTGATCCGAAAAAAGAACCCAGGTGGATGGTGGGAAGGAGAGCTGCAAGTTAGTGTCTTTTCCTTGTGTTTAAAATCCTCCATCCAAAGTTGAATGTGCAAAATCTCAAAGGGATACAATTTCATCGCAAAGGACAGCTAACCCCGCACCGCCTCGTCCTGCGTGTGGATGTCGGGAGAGTGCACACCATCGGAACCTATGTGTTTGTTTTCTGAGCTTCGGACAGCCAGTGGCAGAGTTGTGAGAGCTAAGGATTCATTGAAAGACTTATCCAAATTTGTTTTCACCCCTGAGTTCAGATAGTGAGGGTTGATAGCATGAGAAATCATGATGAGGGACACCTGCAGTGACATCTCAAGTGTCATGGCATTGTAGAAGCAGAGCTCATCATCGGTAGCAGTATGTGTGATACGAAAGCCACATCTGTACAACACAACGTATTTAGACCCGTGTGTGTGTGTGCGTGTGCCTGTGTCTTCAATTCACCGTTTTGTCAAGGCCAAGGAGGGCATGGTCTGTATATTGTGGTGAGCTGTGCATATGGGGCAGCAAGTTAAGAAATCAAGTGCCAGCAGAGTGCGGGGTGAGCCAGAGGACTAGAGAAACGTGTCTTGGGTGGAATGAAAAGCTTGCCTGGAGTAGAGCCAGAGGTTAAACTCGTCTCGGGCAGCTGGCTGGTGGGCAGCCATAAAACCCGTCCAGCAGGGCTGACCACACTGACCTTACAGGCTCAGGAATCTGACCTTGACCTCTGGGGTCTTGGGACCCACTCCTCTTTGTACTGTTGTGCTCGTGTCGCCTCAGGCTGCCCCCAGGTGCTCCTCTTCCCTTCTCAGCTGCCCCCCTATTCATCTTCCCAACCATCGGCGACATCTCCGTTCCAGCCCCATTTCATTTGGTGGTTTGCTCTCTTGAAAACAGGTGACTCCCCTAGACTCTCTTAGCCTCACTGAGAGTAACGTGCCCCACCCGTGGTTGTCTCCCAGCCCTCCCCCAACCCGCCAGAGCTGGCCATATCCCACCTCCCCCAGAAGCTTTGTGGCCATCCCACCAGCAGCAACCTCTTCTTCCCCTGAATGATGGTGGGGTCCCGATGCCCGCACCACTCTTGGTATTTAATACTGATGTTGATGTCATTACTTAGCTTTTCACACACATTTCTCACGTCTGCATGTAGGTTATCAGCTTTCTGAAAGCAGTAACCATAGTTTTTCATCCTCACATTCCTTGCACCTTGCTCAGAAGAGAGTTTTGAACCGTTTTGGCAATCCACAGGAAAGTGGGTGAATTGCCGTGCACGGAGGGCTTCTGGCACTTTCACTGGGTACACACATGAAGAAATTGCCAGTGAGCTTTGTGTTCCGTCCTTGTGAAGCTGCAGGGGCATGGCAGAGTCGTTGCAAGCCATGTGGCGGGTACTGGACAGATGAACACGTGGGGGCTTGCAAATGAGAGGCTGCCGTCGTGGGCGGATTCCTTGTAAAAATAAAAGCTTTAGCCCTTCAGCCAAGGGCATGAAGTCTATCAGAGCACAAGGAAAGGGAAATTTGATCTGCGTGCTACAAGTAACCCAGATGTTTCCCTCTTAATAAGTTGGCAGGTGGAAGGGCAGAGTTAAGGTAGAGGAAGCTTTCTTATCTCTTAGCTTCATTTTCTTATTTTGGGAATAGGTAATATATTCACATGGCTGAAAATTCAAAAGTGAGGGGCGCCCGGCCGGCTCAGTCAGTGGAGCGTGTGACTCGATCTCGGGGTTGTGGGTTTGAGCCCCAAGGTAGGCGTAGAGATTACTTAAAAATAAAATGTTGAAAAAGTAATAAAAAATAAGTAAAATGCAGCAGTGAGCCAAAGGGGATGCAAAATGTCTCCCACCCACCCCATCCTCAAACGCAACCGCTCTTTTTTTTTTAATGTTTATTTATTTTTGAGAGAGAGCGTGAGCAGGGGAGAGGCAGAGAGAGGGAGACACAGAATGCAAAGCAGGCCCCAGGTTCTGAGCTGTCAGCACAGAGTCCGATGCGGGGCTCGAACCCACGGACTATGAGATCATGATCTGAGTTGAAGTCGGGCACTTAACTGACTGAGCCGCCCACGTGCTCCAAAAGCAACTGCTTTTACCAGAGTCTTGCTTCTAGAGATACAGCGTGTGTGTGCATGCACGTGTGCACACGGGTAAACCAGTTTGAGTTCTCTGTTGCCATTGGTGTAGTTGTGTGGTCATAGCGCTGCTCAAGATTCTCAACTAGACTCTTCCATCTCACAGAGTGAGTCAAAAATTGCAGGTCTCAGCTCACCACCTTTATTATCCGTTCCTCCATGTCATAGGCTATCCCTTTCCGACAACACCCAGCATGTAAACACTCAGTAAACGGGTCTTGTGTTGAATCAGATGGGAGCGAAGGAGAAAAGAATGGCACTGGAAATGGCTGTAGCCGTCATGGAGGCCTGATGGTCTTTGAAAACAATGTCAAGTTGAGACTCTTTATGTCCTGTAAATATTACAGTATGTTATCTTGTATCGTCCAGAAGAATGAGGCGTGAGGGTAAATAGGGACTTACCACTAACTAGCTTATAACGCCAAAACTCACTTAACTTTTCTGGGCCTCACTTTCTTTATCTGGGAAATGGGAGAAATAATAGGATTCTCCCTTCCGGCATTGTGCAGATACATACATGTAACCTGCTCAGTGCAGGACGTGACTCATCAAAAGCACCAGTAAGTGTGGCCTGCTGTGATTAGTAGTATTTTATGATGGTTACTACTTTCATTCCTGTGAAATCCGTATGTCATGTTGGCATTTGCCATAATCTCTACATTACCTGAAATTAACACATCAGAGCCGGCGCTGCCCGAGCAAGGGTTCTAGCTAGGACATACCACATCACACGGAATTGTGATCCACACAGCCCAGCCTGTGCAGAAACACTCCAGGCTTTGCTGACCAATGACTGCCACGATTTGAATTTCAGCTACGGGGTTTTCGTTGCATAATCTAGTAAGTAAGTGAGAGATTCTACTGTGTTAATGCCACTTGGTTTGCAGTTTTCTATAAACTGTACGAGTGCTCTGTTGCATAGCAAAAACTTCATCACGAAGGATCATGAGCCTCTTAAACATTTTGATGTAATTATTTTCTTACTAGGCACGTGGGAAAAAGCGCCAGATAGGCTGGTTCCCCGCTAATTATGTAAAACTTTTAAGCCCCGGGACGAGCAAAATCACTCCAACGGAGCCACCGAAGCCGACGGCGTTACCGGCAGGTAGGTGGTTTACGATCTCTATTTGGAAGACGGCCTGCAGGTCACGTTGGTCTTTCCAGTCGGTTTTCTCCCGAAGTATCTTAGATTGTTTCTCACATCTGCTGTAAGCACTTCCTGTGCTTGCCGGGACTGATACCCAACTAATGTGATCTGGAATATGTTTTTCAAAAGGACCAAGTATCTAAGCAGCTTTGCTGTTCTGGGTACAACAGGGCCCTTGTTGGAACCCTCTTCCTAAAGCAGCCATGAATGCTGCGGCATTAAAGCCAGATTTTTCTCTTGATTTCCTTCCAGCTATTTAATTTGGGATTTGGGCGAGGGGGTGAGGGGACAAAAGGGAGCTCCTAAACATAAATGGCTGGGGTCTAAATAGGTCAGGAGATAGAGCTGGAGGCCACGGGGTTCTGTTGGTTGCAATATGCTGTTCACTGAAGACTAAAATAACTCCCCTGTGACATTTCCTGTGAACAGAGGGGCTTCGCTTACTGGGCAGGATGTTGCACACACTCTCCTAAAGGACTCAAAAGAACAGAGGGCACTGCGGCTGAGCCGGTTGGCTATTTTCTGCCCGGAGAGACCAAATTAGATGCTTTGGTAATATTTGAGGCGGGTGAGGTCAGGGGAGCAGGATTCTGCCTTAGGTCTTTAAAGCTACCAGTTCTTGGGTGGCATCTGTGGAAAATGCAGAATTTTCGTTCGTGTCCTTGCCATACATCCCAGTGAAATCAGATTCACACTTGGCAGCCTTTGCAAGAAACGAAAGGATTGGCAAACCGGGACTGTGCCCAGCCCCAGCTGGGCCTCTCTGCCTGAGCTGTGGCCTCGTGTGGGCGGAGGGGTGTGGTGCCAGCTGGATCCCCCCACCCTCCCCGCCTTGGGGGGATGCCTGGCAGTGTCCCTGTCATCAGGTTGGTTGAAACGCACAGAAAGGATTTGCTGAAGTGAGTCAGTTAGCTGGAGAATTTGAAAAACCTACACCCATATACAGGTTGGTTAAGAAAGAGTAATTAGGGGCACGACCTCACTGTATGGTCTTATCTAAAGTGTGACAATGCCAGGAAACGAAGGCAGTTTAACCTCCCATAGGTTCGAGGGAAAAAGAGACAAGAAAAACTATTCTTGAATGTGGAAATTTCTCCTCTGAGACAAAAGTTTGAGACACAAAGATAGAGCAGAATAAAACACGGATTTTCACTGTTCAGGAAGATTTGGGTTTGTGGGGAGATCAGATGATAATTACCTTCCACCTTAAAAAGACAAAAGGAGAAGCAAGAAAGGAAGCAGAGAACTGTAGCAAAGTCCCCGGGATGCACGGGATGCACGGCTGACCCGGCTTCCAGAGTCAGCATTTTTAAGGAGTTCCCCTCCGCTCAAATAGAAATGATTCCATGAGCATTCAGTCATCAGTGTAAATTTTCTGCTGACAAGTCCACATGAGAAAGAGGAAGGGTTTATGTAAACTAAAGACTCCATGTGAAATTTTGCTGTCGTCTTGGTTTTTAACCCATCTTCCTCTGCTGCCCTCGCTCTGCCCTGTCCCGAAAGAACAGCACTAACACGTGGGCATATCTGATGACCCCAAGTGGCCCCTTCCGCGTGCCTCTCGGCCAGGCAGCTCTCACCTGGCCCTGTGTCTTCCGCAGTGTGCCAGGTGATCGGCATGTACGACTACATCGCCCAGAACGACGATGAACTGGCCTTCAACAAGGGCCAGATCATCAACGTCCTCAACAAGGAGGACCCCGACTGGTGGAAAGGAGAAGTCAATGGACAAGTGGGGCTCTTCCCCTCCAACTACGTGAAGCTGACCACAGACATGGACCCAAGCCAGCAATGTAAGTGCCTGAGCGGCTCCGTTGTCTCTCCTGTCTGGTTCCTTCCGGTAAAACATGCAGCATTGCTCTGATTCTGCCGAGCTTTGTTTGCAGAACGTAAAGCTAGACCATTGCTGCATTCGCAACAGTCTCTTTGAAGACCTTCTGTAATGCAAGACTTTTATCTTGTGGGGTTGTTTTCTTTTCTTTTGTTTTTTTTTTTTTTTTCCTGTTGCATGTCCCCTCCCTCCCCCCCCCCTTTTGTTTTTTTTTTTTTTTTTTTTTGATCATTTTGGCACCATGCTGTTGACATGCCTGACTCATTTTCCTAGCTTGAATTTTGCTCATTGTTTTGTTTTGCTTATGTGTTGTTTTCCTCCTTTTTCTAGGAATCATATGTTGTCCATCCCCCCCTCAGGCTTGAAAGTCCTCAAAGAGACCCACTATCCCATATCACTGCCCAGAGGGATGATGGGAGATGCAGCCTTGATCATGTGACTTCCAGCATGATCACCTACTGCCTTCTGAGTAGAAGAACTCACTGCAGAGCAGTTTACCTCATTTTACCTTAGTTGCACGTGATGACAATGTCGAGTTATGACTTGCAGAGATAGAAGCAAACCTTACAAAATTACACAGGGTAGTGGGTCCTTTTGTGGCTTTCCTAGTGACTCGAATTGACTTCCCCCCCACCTTTGCACAGGTGCTTTCGATAGTTTTAAAAGTGTTTTTAAAAATATATTTTAGCCTTTTAATAAAAATCAATAAATTACTCCTTTGCCATTTTGGTTTTGCAAAAAGACCCACTATCAAGGAATTCTGCGTGTGCTATGGAAAAAAAAAAAAAAATGTTCCAAATGTCCATAAATCTGAGACTTGATGTATTTTCTTTGTTCATTTTGTCCAGTGTTACCAACGACATTGTGTAGTTTGGGTTTCCCCCGCCCCCTGCTGTGGAAGCAGAGGAATTCAGTGTATCTGTTTTAAAGCCGTGTAGAACGACCCCAATTAAACGGAAGGTGTTTGGCGCTTGTTCGTGTGTATCAGATGTACCCTGCCGAGCATGTAATAATACATCCTGTACATAAGAACTTAGTTCTTCCCATGGCGAAAGCTACCACCTTGTACGATGCTCTAATCATATTGCGTTAATCTGATTTTGCACAGTGACCTTGTAGCCACAGGAGAAAGCACCTGTGTTTTTTTGTTCGGTCTCAGATTTATCTGGTTGAGTTGGTGTTTTCTGTTTGGGGTTTTTAATCTTGCGTGTTTTCATACCGTAAAATCAGTAGACGACGCCGCTGAGGTTGTCACGATCAACAGTATCTACAATCTCTCCTTAGTCTCTGTTACATGAAGTTTTTATTCCAGTTACTTTTCACGGAATGACCGATTTTGAACACGTAATTTTCTTGACAAGAAAGAATGTATAGAAGTCTCCCTGCAATTAATTTCCAATGTTTACATTTTTTTAAACTAGACTGTGGGATTTCTGCAGATTAATACGAAATGGAGCTCATGGTCCGTGTATGTGTTAGATGTGTTGTAGCTGAAGCCATGTTGTGTCTTTTAAACACTAGTTGGAAGCTCTCAATAAAAATGCCCGCTGCTGACAGCACAGGACACCGGGTGGGGGGAGCCTCAGCACAGTCTCGCGGTTCCACTAATGCCTTTGTAACCTGAAGTCACCTTCTGTTTTCACGCCTCCCTCGGGGGCGTCTGTGCAGAGCCCCTCCCGCACTCACACGGCGCGGAGAATGGGGGCTGCTTCCCCTCGTTCCCTTGCGCTCCAGTATTTTCATGGATATGAATGTAAGATATATAAATACATAAACCTGCGGCTTTAACAACTGTAATACCACCTTTTGGATTAGTTACGTGTATAGATAATTAAATTCTTCATACAAAAGTTAGACGGAAATGTCTCTGTGTTTTGATGTTGGAACCTGGCAGTGGTGATGGGGAACCAGACAGACTAGATGGCAGCCGGGGCCAGCTGCCCATGTGTCCATGGGGACGCTTGGGCTTTGAGATACAGACGCCATCCGCTCCTCACGGAGTCTTCTTTGACCCCCCCACCCCACCCCCACCTTGCTATCCGCTCCTCCCTGATCAAGGAGTAGAGGATGGCCCCTTATAAGACGGGTTTTGAAGACTAGAACTACCGCGCAGCTGAGCGGTTAACTGTCTCTTTGGGCTTTTGGTGCGCGTCCTTGATACATTGACAGGTGTGTGACTGGACTCAGGGTACAAAACATTTCTCTGAAAGATGTATCGTAATAAGTGTCTGATGAACATCCAGAGAACGTGTGGGTGGAGATGGAGACTTTCACGGCTTCCATACTGCTCCCCGCCATCCGTTTCTGCCTCGCACACGCCAGTCTTGTCGCCTTTGCAGAAATAAACCAGTGTATGTGTTGAAGAAACTTTGCTCTGATGACCATGCACTTGCTTCCGATCATGAACTTCACTTAGCGACCCTCCTCTGCCCTTCATTTGAACAATGGGTTCTATTTGGGGGGGGGGGGGCCCTCATCCATCACGTGTCTGGCATCCTATGGGACTCCGGGGAGAGTGTGCTGCTCAGTCACTACTGGAGACAGGGTCCCTGTCCTCATGGAGTCTGTGTTCTAATGGGAAGAACCAGCAGAAAACCAAACTACCGCAGTACATGTAAATATATATGGGCTGTGTGTGATAAGGTGATAAGTCCTGTGCTGGAAGTATGGTTGCAAGGCACCACTGAGCAGGACATCCAGTTGGGGCAGGCAGGGTGGCAGCAGGGAGAGGGTCAGAGAACCCTCCCAGCAGGAAGTGATATTTAACTTGAGACCTGAAAGAACTAGGGGCCAGATGAAGCCGGAAGGAGAAGTGGCTGTTCTAGGCACAGATGTCAGGACGTGCAAAGGCCAGGAGGTGGGTGGAGAGATCTCTGTCCCCAACCTCCTCCCTGCCCCCCAATTGTGGAGCAAGGATCAAGACAGCAAGCCCCATCTCTTGCCCAGGAGCCCTTCCCCCATATAAGCCAATGTTTCTTCTCCAGCCTTGAGTTTGGTTGAAATGACACATTGTCAAGGTGGGTACTGCTGTGCACTCTGTAACTCTCTCTACAATCCCCTCTCTATAGATCATTCCTCCAGGCTTCCTTCTGGTCTGTGAACGGACACAGGTTGTTCCCCAGGACATGCTCTTTCCTCCTCAAACCATGTGGTTTGCATTTGATTATAGAGTGTCCATCTGATCCACTTCTTCTCAACCAGGGGGAATGCTACCGGCATCTAGTGGGTGCAGACCAGGGATGCTGTGAACTGCACTGCAGGGCACAGGACCACCCCCACCACGGAGAATTATCTGGACTCAGATGTCACCAGTACCAAGGTTGAGAAACCCGTCCCACCCACTGGCCACTGTGGTTAATGTTCACCTGGTTGTTCACGGCTAACATAGGTGCCTTGCTGGTAGTCTCTGCTTTTGTTCCGTAACTACTGTTGAGTAAACTTAATCATGTAATAAGTTCATGCTCTGTATCTGTGGCGTAAAAAGTGTCCCAGAATCTTGGTTCTATATTTTAGACTTGATCGTACTCTTCTTGGCTATTCCCCATTGTATGCAGTTTGGTACTAAAGTACTTTTAGTCCTGTTCTCAGAAAATCTGCTTAACAGGAAGTTGAATAAAGGAGAGAAAAAGCATCTTTTAATTAAGTTAGCAAAGTGATGCTAGGTATCTCCTTTGGCCCCAGAGTTTAAAGATGTTAGATTTTTTTTTTAGTCGTTTAACAAGAACAGCTGGTCATTAAATCATTTAATGTCATAATTGGTGCCGATTTGTCACGTGAATGTATCTGCAACTGATCTGTGGGTACAGCGCCATATGGACAAGACGTGTCCAAATGAGATCACCCTCCTTTTGCAGTTTTGAGTTGCCTTCCTAAGGTCAGCTGCCTCTCTGCACTGCAGAGCAGGGCCCAGAGAGCTGCAGAGCGGGAACAGAGTGGCGGCCAGCGGGCCAGAGCCTGGACTGCCTCTGCGTAAAAAGGGTGCCCTGGAGAAGCTGATGTAAAGGAAGGATTCTTCCCTTTGTAAAGTAAAAAATATTACACCATTACACATATGGCAGAAACTGGTGTTTGCCCTGTTTCTGGAAGGGAACTGGGCAGATCCAGACTCCCACAAGCAGATGACAACTGGGCTCTCTCTCTATGCCTTCTTTGATCCCATCCGAAGAAAACCCTGGTAATACCAGCTTAAGAAAACCCTCTCAGTAGTAGGTTAAAACATGGAATCACCAATATTCCCACCTCTCACCTATAAAACCGCAATTTCTGTTGCTCAATATGCTATATGCGCACCTTGGCATATAGTAGGTTCAGTACTCAGAAATGCCTGTTTGAACGAGTGGGTTGAGCAATTAATACACGAGGAAGAGGCACTGGGGGTTCCATTCCAGGCACACCACATCACCCCCCCAAGAGGATACCGAGGTACATTTGCAGGCCCCTTTCCTTTAGCTGTGAGTTTCCCAACAGCAACTGTGTTCTTGGGAGGGGCTGCTCCTGGGGTCTGTTGCTCATCTGGTCCGTGAAGGAGGCCAAGGACCAGAGATGCCAGGGTGTGGCAACCTTCCTCTGGGCCAGGTCTACCCCTGGCACGGGGTCAGGGAGGCAACCACCCAGATCACAGTTGGGGAACGGGCCCAACAAATCACAGCCCTGCTTCCTGGCAAATTGAAAATTAATTCCTGAGAGTGAATATTCATTTTTTTCTTCTAGCAAAAGTATACGTTAATCCTATTCATTCCTTTTAGTTCCAAAACACCCAAGAGAATTTTTATGAAAAACTACATTGACTGCCAGTGGTCCCAAAATGCACAGGAAAAAAAAAAAAAAAAAAAAAAAAAACAACCCAAGTCTTCAAAATGTCTGATATTTTGGATCTGGTGGGATAGGGGAACACAATAAGGTCAAAGATCACGATAGCTGTATGTGAATATTTCACTATTTCACTTCGGCCAGAATTCTCTT